ATACTTACTGTTACCCTACAACTTGCCGTCACTAAAGACTTCACTATGAGGGATACAAGAGTGATTTGAGTTCCAAACGGAGCAGCAGAGGGACATTTGACTTTTGGTTGCTCTGTCTAGACTTGAATATTCCAGTGCAACCCTGGCTGGTCTCTCACATTCCACGCTCCATGAATTTGAGCTCGTCCAAACCTCTGCTGCCTGTGTCCTAACCTGTACTAAATGCTATTACTCCCTGGCCTATATTGGCTCCTAGTCATGCTCCTCCCTATTTCTGCCATCTCTTCCAGGCCCACTGAGCTATCGACTTCTGACCTCGAGCAGCCAGCCACCTGGGCCCTAAAACTCTGGAATTCCCTCCGTAACTTCCTCTCTCCTCATTTAAGACGCTACCTCACACCTTCCTCTCGGATCAAGCTTTTGCTGATCTGCACCAGTGTTGTTTCCTTGGGCTCGGAAGCTTTTTGAATGCTCCTGCAAAACATCTTGGGATATTTTGTTGCATTGAAGATCCCTTACTGTTTACAAAGAGAGTGATGGCTGCGTGGAATGCACTGCCAGTGGTGTAGTAGAGTCAGATACATTAGGGATATTTAAGCGATTTTTGGATAGGCACATGGATGATGGTAAAATGTAGGTTTGCAGGGTAGTTTGATCTTAGAGGAGGATAATAGGTTGGCACAACATCGTGGGCCGAAGGGCTTGTACTGTTCTATGTTGCTTACATAAAACTTGCCGCTGCTTGTGAGTAAGTTTAGGAGTTCCACTACTTTCACGTGAGGTTTATCCACGCCGGTTGGAGCTGTCAGTTTTGTGATGAGAAGTGTTTGCCTTGGCTGGTGTTCACCTCATTTTGGTAATAATTTCTTGGAAACCAAAAGGGCAGCTCTGTTTCAGCTCAGTAATCATGTGAGATTCTCGATGACAAGGCAGTAACGTTGGTCTGAAGGAAACGAGATTGGGAAAGCATGTAACCAAGTGATGGACTGCCAGAGCATCACTTCTTTTTTTCTCTTGTGGCTGTCCTCAGTCTCTCAATTTCCATGGTGGGCATACAGAGACCAGTCAATATAGGGTAGGTTAGAATCACAGACGGTACAGATAGAAAGAAAGGAAGAGAGACATAAAAGAAAGACAAGGAAGGTGGCTGGATATATCCAGTAAGGGGGAAGAAAATGTCGACTGTAATCTTGGCTATATTGTTGGTTATAAACCCTTTCCAATTTTAAAGCTTCACCCCTTAACAAGATAGCAAGATAAAGGAGTGAAGCTTCGAAATTGGAAAGGATTGATAACAAGCTAGCAAGATATCAACACTTTCCAATTTCAAAGCTTCATCCCCTTATCTTGCTATCCATCCTAAAATGGAAAAGTGCCAATATGGCCACAGAAAGAAGTTGTAGAAGAGGAATCCTCAAATAAACTTGGCCACACTTTTCACAAGCATTACTTGCCTTGTGGAGAGGTCTTGGTTTGGAACTCCTTTATCCATAATGTTGAGAGCATTAGATTTTTTTTTACTGGTTTTGCTCAGAGCATCTGACTTGGGTGTTTCCCCTTCTGCTGAGTATGGGTGTTCTCCAGCTGCTCAGTTGTGAAATACTGTGCTCCTGGTTAACAGACTGCAGAGCAAACCCATCTTTTGGCACTCCCCTCAAGTCCTGAGGACCAGTAGAGCTCTACAAGATAGGATTGAACCAGAGCCTTGCACAATGGTCTTAATTTGAACAAACCCAGGGTGATAGACTCTGGAGGGCACCAAAACCAATTTCTGGCTCTGAAGAATATGTTTTCTGCCACCTTCTCAAGCCCACTCAAGAGGTATTCAAATCTGTTACTAGAATTTATTCAACGCACCGTGAAAGGGCAATGCTGTCAGGAGGTTAAGGATCTGGAATTCATTCGCCCAGTGTAACATAGTCTAATAATATTATGTCATCACAGAGGATGGCCATTGAGTACATGGTGGATTGGAAAGAGTTTATCATACACGTCAAAAGAGGTTAAAGAGAGAGGTTTTCGCATCAAAAATACCTACATCCAACTAAATTCATATGTTTGAGCATAGCAAGTAATCTTTACTCCTGTCTTGTTTCTCTTCCCTCTTGCAATGAAAGTGTTGATATGTACCAGGATACAATTCTCATTGTCTTAACATTCCTCATATTAGCAAAAGGCGGAGTGCCCACAGGCTGTAGAAGTGGTTAAAAAACCAGTCTACCCACATGTGCCATCCTGTACATATACTCTGTCTCGCATCCCCCCGACACACCTCTCCATATCTCTCATACACATACACGGAGTTATTTGAGATCAGCTGCCAGTTAAACAAGTGGTATATCTAATTAAGTAGCCGTTGTATAGCAACAACCTGCTCACCCCCACTCAGTTTGGGTTCTGCCTTGTTCACTTAGCTGCTGACCTCCTCACAGCCTTGGTTCAAACATGGACAAAAAAGATGAATTCCAGAGGTGAGATGAGACTGACTGCCCCTGATGAATACCCAAGGCAGCGTTTGACTGAGGATAAGCATCTTAGTCCCCCAGCATCATTACAGGGTTCCTCAGGGTAATGTCCTAGGTCCAACCGTTTTCAGCTGCTTGATTAATGACCCTCCCTCAATTGAAAGGTAAGAAGTGGGATGGTTGAGCAATATTCAGCACCATCTGCGATTTACAAGATTCTGCAACAGTCCGTGTCCTTAAACAGCAGGACTCAGAAAATTACCAGGCTTGGGCTGAGAATGTATGAGTCACACAAGTGCCACCCAAGAACCATCTTCAAAAAGACAGAGAGTCTAACTGTTGCCCCTTGACATTTCATGGTATTACCATTGCTGAACTTCCCCCTGGGAGTAACCACTGACCAGAAACTGAAATACACGACCCATGTAAATACCGTGGCTACAACAGGCCAGGAATTTTAAGGTAAAGAAACTCGTCTCCTGAATTCCCAAAGCCTGTCCACAATCTGCGAATCAAAAGTGTGATTGAATACTCTCTACTTGCTTGGCTCTGACAACACTAAAGGAGCCTGACACCATCTACAATGAAGTAGTCCACTTGATTGGCACCACATCCACCACTTTCAATGTTTACTTCCTTTACGTCTGATGCAAATTCGCAGCAGTGTGTGCCTTCCACAACACGTACGCAGTAACTCACCAAAGGCTCCTCCGACAGCACCTTCCAAATCCGTGGCCATTACCATCTGGAAAGACAAAGGCAGCAGATACATGAGAGCGCTCCACTATCATAACTTACATCGTCTAGCCTTCATTTTCATTAAGTCAGGCTGCTGGAACTCTCTTCCTAACAGCACTGCTTGCATTCCAAGGACTGCAGTGGTGGAAAAAGGCAGCTCACTGCCACTTTCTCAAGGGATTTGGAGATGAGCAATAAATACTGGCCCACATTGCATGCATGGATTAAAATATAACTGATTTATATCGAAATGATTTGAATGTTAATATCGGAGGTGTGATTAGTAAGTTTGCAGATGACACCAAAATTGTAGTGGGCAGCGCAGAAGGTCATCTCAGAGTACAACAGGACCTTGATCCGATCGGCCGTGGAGTGGCAGATGGAGTTTAATTTAGATAAGTGTGAGGTGCTGCGTTTTCGAAATGCAAATCAGATCAGGACTTATATGCTTAATGGTAAGGTCCTGGGGAGTGTTGCTGAACAAAGAAGCCTTGGGGTGCAGGTTCATAGTTCCTTGAAAGTGGAGTTCCACGTAGGTAGGGTGATGAAGAAGGCGTTTAGTATGCTTACCTCTATTGGGCAGTGCATTGAGTATAGGAGTGGGGAGGTCAAGTTGCGGCTGTACAGGAACACTGGTGAGGCCACTTTTGGAATACTGCATGCAATTCTGGTCTCCCTGCTGTAGGAAGGATGTTGTGAAACTAGAAAGGGTTCGGAAACGATTTACAAGGATGTTGTCAGGTTTGGAGGGTTTGAGCTCCAGGGAGAGGCTGAATAAGCTGGGGCTATTTTCTCTGGGGTGTCGGAGGCGAGGGGCGACCTTTATGGAGATTTATAAAATCATGAGGGGCACGGATGGGATGAATAGCCAAGGTCTTTTTCCCCAGGGCAGGGGAGCGCAAAACTAGAGGGCATAAGTTTAAGGTTTAAGATTTGAAAGGGAACTAAGGGGCAACCTTTTTCATGAAGAGGGTGGTGCCATGTGTGGAACGAGCTGCCAGAGGAACTGATGGAGGCTGGCACAATTATAACATTTAAAAGGCATCTGGATGGGTATGTGAATAGGAAGGGTTTAGAGGGATATGGGCCAAATGCTGGCAAATGGGACTAGATTCATTTCAGATATGTGGTCAGCATGGATGAGTTGGTCCAAAAGGTTTGTTTCTGTGCTGTACAGCTCTGTGACTCTATGAAGCATGACCTACTTATTTTTTTGTTCTGGACGGACCATGTGCCATCAAGCGCTAATCATACAAGTTATTCTTCCTCGAGCAGAGAACGTTACAACACACTTTGTTGCAGAGGTTTTTCGTAGGTCTGCTCTCATTGTTCGACACTGCGATGGAGAAGAGTTTGAAAATTGCGACCGTAGAATTTATTTCATCCCCTGATGAGGTGGCACTGAAGCTGGCCCTGATAAACCTCAGGAGTTTTGGAATCATTGTTCCAATTTGCCATGGGAAATTTAAACATTTAAAATGTTAGGTGAATTGTGAACATAATGGACTTTCTGTAAATTATTAGACGTGCTATTGAATCATAAGTTTTAATGAAAGGACAGACAAAGGGCTGAGAATTGTGTGAATGGGCTGCTAAAATGGGTTTGACCTGAGTACGCTCCAGTTCGGGTTTATTAAACTTGCTGCTCAGAATAAACCAATGTTTTATGAGAAAAGGCCACCTTTTATGAGTAATTTCTTGTCTGGCACTAATTTATTTTGTCGGAAAAGAGAAATGCGCGTTGATTTGTAACTCTGTTCCTTTTCTAAAGTGTCCTTTTGTTTGTACCCCTTTCAGCCAGCATGAAGAGGAGCAAGGCCAGCTGGTTGATGGATAAGCCAGCACATTTCCAAGGAAATGGACCGCAAAATGGTCAGCCGATCATCTCCGAGGGAGATCTATTGCTCGAGGTGAGGAGCAATGTAATGCAAGAAAGATGAAGCACTGCTGGACAGATAGATTATTTTGAAAAATGCTTATGCTCTCTTAATTCCTTCTCAGTGCAAAGTGTTGAGGAACATTAGGGACTTCTATAGGATTTGAATCTGGAGTACGGGAGTGCCTAAACTTACAGGATCTTGAGTATTGGAAGGATTGGGCTTTGCAAGAAAGTATGGAGGTGTTTGCCCTGATTTTGATCATGATGACCAGGCTAATCATTCCCTAGATGCATTCAATGCTACATTACAGAGATGGGAGCTGTACTGGGGCAGTAGCAATTAATGAAAGGCCTGTTGGAGATGAGGGATTTTATTTTCATTCCTTCACGAAATAAGGATGTTGCACAGAGTTAGTATTTATGCCGAATTTTAATTGGCCTTGAGAAGTTGGTGGTGAGCTGTGGTTTTGAACTGTCACAGTCCATGTAGTGGAGATATATACACACACACTGCTGTTTGGGAAAGGAGTTCCAGGATTTTCATCCAGTGACAGTGAAGTTTCCAAATCAGGAAGGTGAGGGACTTGGAGGGGAACTTAGAGCAAGTGGTGTTGCCATGCATCTACAACCCTTGTTCTCTAGGTGGCAGTGATCATGGGGTTAGAACGTTGCCGTTGCAGAAGGCTTGCTAAGTTATTTTATGGATCGTGTAGATGGTACACAGCACTGTGTGGAGGTGCTGAAGTGAGTGAATATTAAACATGGTGGATGAGTGATAATCAGTTGGGCTGCTTTGTCCTGGATTATGTCAAGCTTTGTGATTGCTGTTGGCAATGGACTCATCAGACAAATGTGGACGTTCCTGACTTGTGCCTTGTAGATGGTGGACAGGCAAACAGGATGTGAGTGATTCACTGCAGGGTTTCTCGTCTCTGACCTGCTCTTGTAGCTGCTATGTATTTTTGTGGCTGGTCTATCTTTTGAATCAATGGCCGACGTAAGGGAGTTATTTGTTAGGCCAACTGGAGCAAGGCTGAGTGGAGTTTGGAAGAGTGGCATTTGGGCAATATTGATGAGAGAGGTTTTGGGAGCTGTTTTTCCAGGGTCGGAGTGTGTGGGGTGAGATGAAGCAAGGAAGATAAGGATGGGGGAGGGTGTCAAACCTGTGGGTAGAATAGCTTTGTCGGTAATAAAAGCTCATACAGGGACTGGGAACAAGGCCACACAAAACAGTATGATAAGTGAGGTACCCAAAACAGGTCAGAGCGTGAAAGGCAGTGGGGATGTCAATGTGAATGGGAAAGTGAAGTAAAAAGGGGAGAGTGAGGTAAATGAAAAGAGACCTCTTTTATAGTGGGTGGCTGAACTCTCCAAAGATCATAGAATCCCTACTGTGTGGAATTAGGTCATTCAGCCCATCAAGTCCACACTGACCCTCAGAGCATCCCACCCCGACCCACGCCATCCCTGTAACCCTGCATTTCCCATGGCTAATCCACCTAACCTTACAGATCCCTGAACTCTACGGGCAATTTAGCATGGCCAACCCACCTAGCCTGCACATCTTTGGACAGTGGGAGGAAATCAGAGCACTCGGAGGAAACCCACACAGACACGGGGAGAATGTGCAAATTCGACACAGACAGTCACCCGAGGGTGGAATTGAACCCCGGTCCCTGGCACTGTGAGGCAGCAGTGTTAACCACTGAACTGTCCCAAAGGTGGACAATCTCTCTATATGTCAAGACAACATGAAGAGAGTCTTGTGAGGAGGGTGGTCTGGTTGTGAGGAGGGTGGTATGGTTGTGAGGAGGGTGGTATGGTTATCTGAGAGATCCCTGTGACTCCCCATGGCCTTCCTGAATGGTGGACGGGATAGATGATAGCATAGTGTCTGAAAGTGGAATAAGTATCTGATGAGGTGACCTTGATCCTCAATTTTCAGCACTGGCCTTCTGTAGGTTGATGGGTGCCCTTGCAGCAAATAACACAGATCTAGAGGCGGCTGCATAATAACGAAAGTGGTATGTTAAAAAGAAGGGGGTGCACTTATCTAATGCCTATCATGACCTCAGGACATCACTGGCTGTACAGCAATGAAGCAAAGTCGTCCTTGTAATGTTAAAAGAGTGGCATCCAATTTGTGCACAGTAAGATCCCACAAACAGCAATGTAACAATACTAGTAAAATACAGCAGATCCTGGCAATCTGAAACCCAACGGGTCAGGCCGCATCTGTGGACAGAAACAGGGCTAACATTCCGGTTTAACAGACTTGAACTCGAATGCATTATTATCTGAATCGAAATGTTTAACTGTGTTTTTCTCCCTGCAGCGATGCTGTCAGACCTGCTGAGTTTCTCCAGCACTTTCTGTGAGCAATGTAATAAGAACCAAACCATCTGCATTTGGAGATGGTGAGAGCAGAAGAAGTAACGGCTGTGACACTGGGGAGAATGCCCCTTCTCCTTCTGTGAAATCGTGCCATAGGATCTTTCCATTCGCAGGGAGCCCTCGGTTTAATTTTTTTTGCCCCCTGAGATACGGCACCCCCAATGCTGCAGTACTCCCTTGGTACTGCATTAGAATGTCAGCATAGAGTTTTTATGTTCCAGACTCTAGAGTGAGGTTCGAATCCCCAACCTTCTGAACTAAGAGCTGAGTTTGCCGCGTACAGACCCACGGCTAACATTCCCAGCTTGCGGCTGGTCGTTTGGTGTGACTAGCATGGCTTGGATACCCTCTGTGTCTCTCCCACAGCTCCTTGTGTCATTTCACTGTCATTTGACTAGGGAAAATGGTGCTCCGAACATTTCCATAATGATTTGTGGCGCCAACTTGAATTTTCTTTGCCAACCCTCGGGAATTCTTAATTGCTGTCCTGTTTCCAGAGCTCCCCTGTAAATTCGTGTTGCTAAGAGGAGATTTTCAAGTCGTCTCTTTTCCCGACTCTTTCTCTCTGTTTAGCAAAAAGTTTGCAAATTCTTTAGTCACAATTGGCTTGATGCGGAATTGAGTTTGCAGATAATAATCAGCTAATTTACATTCCACATAGATGTACTTAGAACCATAAAGTCAGACAATCCCTACAGTGTGGAAGCAGGCCATTCGGCCCATTGGGCCCACACGGACCCACCGAAGAGCATCCCACCCAGACCCACCTACCCTATCCCTGTAACCCTGCATTTTCAATGGCCAATCCATCTAACCTGCACATTTTGGGACTGTGGGATGAAACTGGAGCATCCGGAGGAAACCCACTCAGACATGGGATAATGTGCAGACTCCACACAGACAGCTGCCGGAGGCTGATATAGAACCCAGGTCCCTGGCACTGTGAGGCATCAGTGCTAACCACTGAGCCACCCTTTGTTTTATTACTACTTCTCTTCTGTAACTTGGAGCACAATTAAACGCAATTAAACAAGTCAAACTTTCGGGCAATCAACGCTAAATGTAGAAACGCGGATTACAATTTTAAAACATCTGTGCAGGCAGGGGGGCAGATGTTGCAGAGAGAGAGGTTATGGTTCCAGAGTTGGGGGAAGGGAGGAAGTTGTGGGGAGATTTGGGCAAGGACTGGGTAGGGGATGAAGGGGAGGTGTTCCAGGGGAGGGAGGAGGTTAGCGAGCAGACACGGTCAGTGGGGGACAGGGTGGATGAAGGGGAGAGGTTGTGTGAGTGGATGTTGTTGGGTGGAAGCATTGGAGCATTTGAGGGTGAGGTGGAAATGAGGTTTGAGGGAGGGTGGGGAAAATGGGGGGGGGGGGGGGTGAGGTTGATTTAGGCAGCCCCATCCCTCTTGTTCAAATTTCCTGGCCGTAATTCCCTAGGGAAAATAAAGAGTCAGTGGATCCTTCCCAAAGCCAATGGAAAATGGTTGGTATATACGCAGTAGCAATAAGCAGTAGAAAAAGAGGCTTTTGTTTTTCATACGAGCTCTTGAGATTAGGTAAAGGGTGGCACGGTGGCTCAGTGGTTGGCAGAGGTGCCTCACAGCGCCAGGGGGGGCCTGGGTTTGATTTCGGCCTCGGGCGACTGTCTGTGTGGAGTTTGCACATTCTCCCCGTGTCTGCGTGGGTTTCCTCTGGGTGCTCCGGTTTCCTCCCACAGTCCAAAGATGTGCAGATTAGGTGGGTTGTTCATGTTAAAACGCCCATAAGTAGCCAGGGATGTGCAGACTAGGTGAGTTAGCCATGGGAAATGCAGGGTTACAGAGATGGGGCAGTGGCGTGGGTCTGGGTGGAAGAGGGGGATGCTACTCAGAGGGTCAACACAGACTTGATGGGCTGAGTGGCTCTTTTGAGTTGATGGCATGAGCAGAGGTATAGTGGTAATGTCTCTGGGCTGGAAATCCACAACCCCAGGTTAATATTTTTGGAGATGTTTGTTTGAATCCCACCATGGCAGATGGCGCCATTCAAATTCCATAAAAATCTGGAATAAAAAACTAGTCTGATGGTGACCACTATTGCTTGTTGTGAAAACCAATCTAACGTTAAATTCCACACAGATGTACTTTTCGGAAAAAGGGATAGAAAACATTGTTCATAATGCCAGTAGACATTAGTAATTGCAACATGAATTAAAATTTTAAACCAGCTCCGCGAGGGAATGGAGGAAAATTGTAGAACAAGGGATTGGTTCCAAGAGGTGGAGAAAGGATGAGAAATGATGGGAGGTTTGGGGAAGGGCTGAAGGCATATGTTGTTGGGGAGAGAGGAGGATAGAGAGTAGAAGGGGCAGTTGCAAGAGGTGGAGTAGTGTCCTTGAAGGAATGAACCGTACAATCCTTATTCAGTCTGGCCTACACGTGACTCCAGACCCAAGGCAATAGAAACTTAGAATTCTGCAGGATAAAAGGAGATCATTTGATGCATTGTGTCTGTACTGACTTCTGAAAGAGCTACCCAGCTAGTCCTACTCTTCAGCTCTATCTCCGTAGTCCTTTAGCTTTATCACTTTGAAACATATATCCAATTCTCTTTTGAAACCTCCAATGGAATCCATCCCACCACTCTCCCAGGCAAT